ACATATACACACAAGCACACACATATGTACATGTGTACACACACACATATGTGAACACATACACACACACATATACACATGTGTGCACAAACATATACACATACATATACACATGTGTACACAAACACACACACACCACATTAGATCAAGACAGCTTTGTAAGATGCTCAGTCCCCCAGCATCATGTAGGACTGGCTAGGTCTTTGCTATGACTGACTGTCTCCGCAGTCCCTCCACCCACTACTTACCCAGGAATAGACAAATCTTTCTAAAGAAGGCGGATAATAAATTTAGCCTTCACAAACCACGGAGTAAAGCTCAGTTCACAATATATTTTTCTTTCCTCACAATTTTCTAAAAAATGTAAAAAAAAAAAAAATCGCTCCAAATCATACCCAAACAAGCTAGGGACCAGAAGTGGTTTGCTGAACACAAAGCAGAGTAGGGCTGCTCATCTCAGAAATAGTCCAGTAAAAGCCTGTAAGCTAATCTCTGTCTAGAGGCTACTTCTGGGAGGCTGCCTGACCGTGACAGAGGAAAGTCGTGGAGACAGGCAGGTTCAGCAGGAGCTTGCTAGTCAACAGTGGTGTTGACAGTGATGAACTTGACCTGAACCCTGCAGCCCTAGAAAATAAGAGTTAATTGCCTTTATTCCTTGCTTCCCAAAACCTGTCCCCTTTATGGTGCTTTTTGCAGTGACCCATTTGCCCATGTACCTGTGACCAAGACTTCTCAAAGCTCCTCTGTTCATGATTCCTTTCCACCGGAAAAACTTTTACATGGTCTCAGGTACATAGGTGTATAACATACAAACAAAACGTTGACTGACAGTCAATCGCAAATTTATTTTAAAGCAATGCTTTAGTATACATAGGATGCTACCCTTTATTAAAGATTAAAATCAATTTACATACTAATGAGATGGAAGTGCTTGTTTAGCAAACACAATACAGCACAGAGATACGCTAATTTGATACTTGCATGCCGAGGACTGATAGTAGCAAGATATTAAAAGTCTTTGTCCTCCATAATGACATCACTTTATGCAAGTATAGGAAGCTTTATACGTACAATGGGAACACTGCAGTCCCTAGCATACAACGATCTCTACTCTGAGCTGCATTTCAGGCAGCTTGTGATGGTGTTGTGTGGTGTGATGGTGTGCAGAGCGCAAAGTGCACATGCGTGTTCGGACCTGAGGCTGCACGTGCGTGTTGAGAACTCGGGCTGCACTTATTCCCCATGATGCAACGTGAACAGTAACTACCAAAGACACCTCAATTTATTGTGTTTATTTTTGAATTAATTTGGGGGCTCTGTGCCTCCAGAAACCTTTCACACTTGCTGAATTTTTATAGCTCTTATGTTCAGTTACACAATCCCAGACAGGGTCATGACCCACAGTTCAAGGAGCTTTGAGATCAACAAGATACACAGTTCAACTCTTTCCTCAGACATAGACAACCCTTTCCTTTATGGGTTACAAGGCCAGACGGTGACATTAAGAATTCTCATTCTTTATCTCCTACGTGATAAACTGGATTGTGTATCCCCGTGCCCTAAACACAACCAGCATGACACAGGGGTAAAATGTTCCTTATTCATCTGTCTGAGAGTCCCCTCTGATGACATAAACAGCCGTAGCTGGCAAACCATTCTGGCTGTCGCTCTTCCCTATCAAGTCTAAGACAAAGCTTCCCTCCAGGAACACTCTGCCCCTCAGTTCTGGGCAGCTCACTCTATTATAATATTCTGGAAATTTTCCATTTGTTGCTTCTTCTGGTTTGTTCCTTTAATAGTCCGTTAACATAACTGTGGAAACGAGGTGTACTGAGACATCAGGTACAAAGGGTCAGATTGGCCAAAAGCACTGAGCACTTTGATGTTCTGGACACAGAGCTCTAGCTGGGACCAGAGCTCAAGGGACTTTAGTGGGGACAGCAAAGCTGAGAACCTTGCATATTGAAGTTAGCTTTTGATCTTTAAAGCTGTGGTGTTTCTGCCTTCGTCCCAGCCCTTCTTGAAGACTGGGTGACTTGGCCACTAGCAGAGAACAGGTACAACAGAGAGGAAAAAAACAGATATTAAAGCTGTCACCAAAAAGAACATTGTACCCTATGGTGGAAGCCTTTGGCTGACAAATCCTTAAAACCTTCAGAAAAAAAAATTGGAAAAACTGTATGCCCGCTAGTACATTTTTAACTCAATATTGACACTACAGTCTCTTTCCCAGGTGCTGGGATTACAGACACTCACCGCTGTGCCGGGCTACAAGATTTGTCTTTAAAAGTTTAAAGAGTTCTGTAGAACCTGCGGATTTTAAGGATTTGCCAGGCGAGTACAGAGCGTATTAAAGCAAGCACACACTTTAGTGAATAGAAATGAGGAGTTTTCTTATGATAATATCACTCAGCTCCTTAAAATCCTATTGAATGTTTAAAATTTTTATTGTAATCCTATTAAATGTTTAAATTTTTTATTGCAGTCATTTACTGTGTGCATGTGGTGGACGGGGGGGGGAACACATTCATGCCAAGCAACCGCACATGTGTGGAGGTCAAGGGCAACTTGGAGAAGGTCATTCTCCCTTCATCCAGTAGTTGCAGGAGCCAAACTCTGGTTGTCAAGTTTAGCAGCAAGCGCTTTTTTACCCACTGAGCCATCTTTCCACCCCTTGACTGTATTTTACATGTACACATACACACACACACACACTTAACCCCAAAAAGTATTTCTAAAATAATGTTAGATGACAACTTTTTAGGCCCTTCTATTGTATTGACCACAAACATATTCAAAGCTGCCTTACTGTACAAGGTACTCTTATCCCACTGTTAAAATCAATATTCTAAGTTTAGAGCATGAAAAAAAATTCAGGACTCTTCCATGCCCAGACTCATGCCTGTAAGTCATTCACTCCTGTCTTATTTAATCCATTTCAAGCAGACCAAGAAAAAGGTACTATAATGTTGCATTTACTATATCTTTAAAACACATCAAAATCCAGGAACATCGGGGTGAGCTTGTTCAACTAGCAGGAAAATATACTATGCAAAACCAAACCATATTATTAAACCAACAGCTAAATATGGGGTTGGGGGAGGTGGAAAGGTTTAAATTTGCATTCAGTAAGTTTTATTTATGCATACTTTTAGACATATAAAATTCAGGGCTGCTCAGATAATATAGTTCTTGGGTAACATGCACAAAACCCTGTGGGTCAATCGTCATCAAAATACAAAATTTCACTCACAAGGTAGAGATGGGAGAATAAGAAGCCCACGTCATCTTTTACTATAAAGTGACTTTAAGGTGAATGGGGAACCGTGTTTCAATCAAACAGGGAATATAAAAATCATTGTGAGATAATCAGAACCTTTAATATTTACTAGAAGCCATCAAAACTAAACATTTTCATATCTGATATAACATGATTTATCCATAGTCTTACAAATTAGAAAAAGCAAAATATATTTGCTTGACTATGATGAACAGCTAGGTTTAAGAGGTATTGATGACATGAGAGTAGTCTCAATTGGTTAATAGTCCTTTGGTGTACATTTTTCTTGTGTAACTCAGCAATAGACCCAGTCCCAAAGTTTCCTTGTCTTTTATGACAGAAATTATATGAACTGCTAAAAATTATCTCATCTAGAAGTTAGCATATTTTTTGCTAGCTGAAGTAGAGAACATTAAATATTTTATAGATTAATAAAAACAGAGTAAATATATTATGAAGTTGGACATGAAAGTAACAGCCTATAATCCCAGCACTGGAGAGGCTGAGGCAGGAGGATCAGCATGAGTCCTCAGGGAAGCCCTGGGATGTAAAGTAAGACTCTGTGTCAAAACTAACAGAGAGAATAAATACCTTATGAATTGGCTTAGAAGTAAGTTTACCCGAGGAAAAGATGAACTCCCGTGTGAGAGAACTGTTTACCTACAGTTTGCAGGCAGCAACCTTCAAAACCTTAATAGTCCCAATTTCAGTACCATATAAAAGAAGTGTTTGACATACAGAGAGTGAAGTCCTGGGTTCAATCGTCGACTCTTCGTCTTGAGCAGTGAACATACTTGTGAATGCCTTGGAAATTGTTGACAAGAAGCCCTTAGTTTTTACCAGAAATCTTTGTTTTTAAGGTTCTCCCTTGATCTCTCCTCCCCCTCCTACCCTCTCCCTCTTCCTCCCCCCTCCCCTCTAAAACTTTATTTTGCTGTTGTCATTTGTGTTTTGTTTTGGTTTTTGTTTTGTTTTGTTTTGTTTTGTTTTTTAGACACAGCCTCACTAAAAAGCCTTGGCTGACATGCCTCATATGCAGACACCAAGCTGGCCTCAAATTCCCAGACATCCACCTGCCTTCCTTCCAAATGCTGGGATTAAAGGCACGTGCAGACAGGCCCATCATGCTGTCTCTTTAGAAGGGTGTTTTTTACAATACTCAAAGCAGTGGAAGAGGCTCCTTTCCGGGCTTCACTGGCCAAGTTCAGAGCACTGACAGCACTCAGATCTTCTCAGGGACTTTTCATAGCCTGAGGAAATACACCTTAGTAACCCAAGTGGTGGGAGGTGAGGTTGTGGAAAGGAAGGTCTCAACAGAGACTTTTCTTGAACAGTGCAAGCTGTTCTCTGCAGACACGACACAGGGAAACCGCAGTATATAGAAACCGGGCCTCTAAGAATTATCTTTCACTTTACATCGTAAGACTCAAACCTAATTCTCACCCAGTCTGAACACTGACAACATATGCCTTCTACAAGGTGAGCACTCTGTCCCTGAGAGCTAGTCTTCTAATAGAGAGATGTGGGGATGGAAAAGGGTGGGGTGGGATGGATAGGGTGGGGTGGAGCGAGGTGGAATCAGTAGAGATAGGGTGGGATAGCACCGTGGGATGGGATGGATGGAGGGGGTGGGGTGGGTTAGGGTGGGAGGGGAGGGAAGAGGAAGGGAAGGGGTAGGATGATAGGATGGGAGGGGAGAGAAGAGGAAGGAAGAGATGGAAGAAGGTCACTGGAGTCAGCAGCAGAAACATCACTGTTCAAACATTTGAGATAACTTCAGGTAAGGATGTGTCCCTTCTATTGGAACAGTAGAAGAGCATGCTTGGAATCTCAACACTGAGGAAGCAGGAGGGTGAATCCCTGGAACTCACTGCCCTACTCGGTGAGTCCCAGGCCAGTGAGAGAACCTATCTCAAAACCGAGCAGAGGATACAGATCCTGAAGAACAACATACACACACATATACACACACATACACACACACAAAGACACACACACACATATACACATATATACACACACATACACACATACAAACACACACACATACACACACATACACACCCATGCATACACATACACACATATACATATACACATGCACACACACATATACACATGCACACACATACGCACACATGCACACACATACACACACATATACACATATACACATACATATATACATGCATATACACATACACACATGCACACACATATACACACACATACACACACATACACATACACACATGCACACACACATACACACATACACACACACATACACACACATGTACACACACATATACACACACATGCACACACATATATGCACACACATACACACATGCACACTTACATACACACACATACACACACATATACATACACACGTACACATACATACACACATACACACATGCACATAAACATACACACACATACCACATGAAAATAGAAAGTGGGAGATAAATGAGACGATCAAGAGGAGGACTGGAAATAATCAGAACAAATTATGACGACACATGTTTATGAACACGCCATAATGAAGCTCTGGAGGCTAACTTTATTTTTTAAAGCATTTAAGTAGTGCTTATTTATTGCTTAGCTTTTTTACAAGAAAATAAAAGATATTTTAATAAAAAAATTCAGACAAATGTTTGTATTTTAGAATCCTGCCTATTTAGATAACTGGCATATAAAGAGACATTTAAAATTTTTGTGCATGTGAAATAGAAAGGGGTCTCTTTTTTGGCTAACGATTTATCTAAATTAGGTGAGACTTAACTTTATACTTTCCAAACTATCATACACACGTATAGGAAACTTTATATACATGAAATAAATAATGAGAAGGAATTTGACTATGAAAACTATTGAGGAAGAGTATGCATTATTCACATTAATGATGGTAAACCATTAAGGAAAAAGAACAGGACAGCTTTCTACAGAAAACCAGGCAGAAAAATGACTTGAGTGGTTTAATTTCCATTTTAAAAATTAATCTTGCAACATTTCCTACCGAATCTTATAATTGGTTCTATAGTTAATTAAAATTTCATTAGTGAGCAGATATGAAAAGCACTGCTTATTTAAACTATGTATTAATCCTTCTTGGATGGCTAATGGATTAAAGCCTCGAGTGCCTCTGTTTGAAGGTAACCACCCTACTCACTCATCTCCTCCCAGAGAGTAATAAGTTAAAGCCAAGAAGGTCTCATATATTTGGTACTATTATTTTTCATAACTAAATTGCAAGGGTAAATTAATTCCGTGGTACATTCTGGAAAATTAACTACTATTTCAGCTAAGATCATTCGTTCCACTCCAGTCACTTCGGTGATTAAGATTCTATTTGAATTTCATTTCCACTTAAGCATGTTAGACTTTTGTCAACATTTTTCTCTTTGTCCAAAGGTCTAGGCAAAGTCGTATCAACAGCGTTAACTTTTTTGATCTTTAGACTCTCCGTAGAATGAGATACTATGTCACTGTCTGGCATTCGGATCACATTCTATCACTTGCTTTAAAACATTTCTAAGTACCCATTTATCAGTGGAACCCTAGGTGTTTCTGAGGATAGTTGGTGTAATGGTTTGGGTTTGAAGTGCTCACCACCACCACCTCCCCAGAGGTCCTACATGAAAGCTTTGGTTCCCAACGCAGTAGTGTACAGAGGCGAGCGAGGTCTTTGTGGGTGTTTGGCTCACGAGACTCTGAAATCATCATTAGGTTGGCCCATCCACACAGTCATGTTTAATGGATTACTGGGAGGTGGTAGAAAACTCTGGGGATGGATGGTCTTAGCTGGAGCAAGCAGGTCACTAAGGGTGAGTCCTTAAAGGATTCTCTCTCTCTCTCTCTCTCTCTCTCTCTCTCTCTCTCTCTCTCTCTCGTTCTCTCGCTCGCTCTCGCTGCTCTCCCTCGCTCTCTGCCTCCCTCTCTCGCTCTGCTTCCTCACTCTAGCTCTTTCTTCCTCCCTCCCCCCATCTCCCTTAGCACTTTCCCTTCACCACACAGTCCCTGCCCTGTATAATCCCCTCACAGGCCCCAGAAATCACAGAACTGAGTGACCATGGACTGAAACACAAGCTGAAGAAAGGAAATTTTTCTCCTTACAGTTGATTCTGTAGCATATTTCTTCACAATAATGAAAAAATAACAAAAAAACAAACAAAAACAAAACAAAATTAAAAAACAAAACATCCTAATATATATATATATATATTATATTATATATTATATATATTTTATATATATTTTATATATTATATATAATATATATTATATATTATATATATTAATATTATATTAATATATATTTCCATATATGAAATACATTTCCACTAATATATTTCACATATTTTTTAATAGCACATGCCCTATTAAAAATGGATTCAAGTATCTACAGAAGAGCAGGAAAGAGGGCCGCTGGTGTTTTCAATAGTGCTGAGTTTTATTCAGATCTGTCTCTCTATTCAGAAAACCATGAGAAACATTCCTTACAGGCTTAAGCCCTTTCCTGTTGTGAATGCTTCTTACTGCTAATTAAAAGTCAATTCAGAGCAACTGCTGTAATTATGAGCATTAGAGTAAGCTTACTAAGCTAAATACAGGAAATGAATGTTTCCCACCTGAGGTGGAAGCTAGACATTTTAGTGAAGTGCATCTAGCTTTTGTAATATTCTATTTATACACACATGCATGTACATATGCGCACATGTGCACGAATACTGTAACCTCAAATCCTAGATTCATTCAAGCAAACAATCTCAGTAGCTGTCGTGGTTACCGCTACCTCTTCCTGTTATGAAATGGACTTGCATGAAATTGCTAATATTTGGTCATTAACTGAACTGCACTGACTGGCAGTTTCTTACGGTTCAGCTTATATAGTTAAGTATAGGTTTCTTTCTTGTCCGTTTTGGTGCAGAGCTTGAACTCAGAGCCCTGAATGTGCTGCGACTAGGCTCTTTCACTGAACTACAATCCCAGGCGCAATGTTCCGTTTTCATCTATTTCCTGCCTAGGTTGAGTTCGGACCCTAGTACCCACATAAAAGGTTGTGGTGATAGATAGTGCTTGTCTGTAAACAGCAGTGGGGAGGCAGAGACAATGAACTCCCTGGGGCTCTCTGATCAGCCTGCCTAGCCACAATAGTGAGTTCCAGGCTCAGTGAGAGACCCTGCTTCAAAAACATACGCAGGAGAGCAATCGAGGAAGACAGCCAAACTTCCATTAGCCTCTGACCTCTGAGGGCACATAACGAACACTCACCTGCACACGTGCACACACACACACACACACTCACACACACACACACACACTCACAAAAGAAAAATACAAGTTAAAATTCGTCAAAACCTCATAGATGCATTAATAGTATCACAAAAAGATATTGAAATCACAGCATAATAAAATGCAGTGACTTCATCCAGCCTCCTCACCTTAGAGTAGTTGCTACAGCCCCAAGGGAAACGCTGTCCCCAAGGCAGCAGGGCAAGTCTTTAGCAAAGCCATCATAGAACTCAACCTCTTCACTTCGGTCCCTAACCTCTCTTCACCATGCCATTAAATAGTATCATTGCCTCACAGCGAAGTGACCGAAGCTGTCCAGTTCCTATGGCGTGACTCTAGTTCCTTCGTGCATGCTCATGTGCTGAGCTCTCCAGAGACTTCCTCCACTGACAGTCCATATTCTCAAGTTCCCTCCTGACAGAAGATATATGAGGTTGACCACCGTATACCAGAAGTATTTTAACCAGGTTCTACTTCCTTTTTTTTTCTCCACCCACAGTTGCTTTACTCTCTACCTACCAGAAGCAGAAGTACAAATGTCAGGTGTCGTTTCTCAAGGCTGTTCCCCTGTTTCTGCCACATTCCAAACTAATGGAACCAAGTCTACAAAAACGGAATCGGAAAAGGGAGTTGGAGCACTTTCCGTAATGAGAGTGAAATGGAGCATTCTGGGTACAGAAAATGGACTGTATCGTCATTGCAAAGAAAACCCCGGCAAGCGTCCCACAAAGCCGAGCTCATCCAAGAGCTTTCGAGATGAAAATTGCAGCTTATTTCCCTAACAGAGGCAAACCACTCCTGTACAGCACTCGTGAGAGCACATCTTGGTAGAAATAAAGCACCATCTTTAACTACATGGGCTGCTCACAGAACGGAGCAGCTACCGAATCTAGTGTAAGGCCTACGGGTTAGAGCGGCCAGAGGTGACTTCCGCCTGGGCAGCTCACCGGCCCTGTGAGTGGATGCTGTGTGAGTCCTCGTCGGATAGTTTTGAATGGAAACAGCAAGAATGTGGTTTTATCTCCCACTAAGAACAGAGGAGCTATTCAGAAATACTTGTGTCCTTACACTTTGACTGACAGGTAATTGAGGGTGGTATGTACCAAAATCTAAAACAACAGCAATAATTGTGAACTCACAAGTGTTCAAGCAAGCAAATCTGTTTTTAAAAAACAAAACAAAAAACAAAACCAGAGATGTTCAGAGAACATCCGGAGAAGTTACTCAATTTATCGGTAAGGTCAAGAGTCAAACAGAATCTAAAATAAAACACGTTTCCCCTAAGATCTCTGTGTTGGTATATTTAAACTTTCGCCTATCTGGACTTTACCTTGTTAATTTGTGTGAAGTTGGGATAAAAATAAGTTTTCTTGCCCTCATCCAGCAATGATGCCTTCGGGGTTACAGTCATTTCCAGCACTAGTGGGCACAGCCCCCTTACGAATATACTGACTTCCTATATCTGCTTGTGTCTGTCACCTTTCCCAAAGTCCCCATCACATGCTTTCAAAACTGTAGCATTGAGCGTGGTCATGGTTCTTTTTCGAAAGGTCTTGACGGTCTCCATGATGTTATTTTCCACTCAATTAACTTTAGAACTCTTGTCAGAATTATTTCTCAATTAAATTGGAGTTATGTTAACTTATCGTCACCTTTTGGGAAACTGACAGTCATTCTCACATTTTTTAATCTTAATTTTTTTACTGTGATCTTCAAAACACTGTGTTATAGGCAGTAAAAAAAAAAACTTCTGTGACTCAATTTACTTACATGAACCCTAGGAAGAATCACAATTATCACGAACATACAAAATAGCAAAAAAAAAAAAAAAAAAAAAAAGTGTTTAAGGAATTTTTTTCCTCTTTCTTAATTTAATTAGATTTATTCTGGATTTTATTTATTTTGAGAAAGCTACTCGTGTAGTCCAGGCAGGGCTCAAACTTGTGCTCAAATGTGTCTTGAAACATTTGAAGCCCCTGCCTCCACTTCTCAACTGCTGGCATTACAGGCGTGCGCTGCCATGCCTAGTGTTATTGGATAGTGGGATCACACCAAGGCTCCATTCATGACAGGCAAGTACTCTACAAAGCGAGCTATGTGCCAGCCTTGAGTTTTGAGCATTTTTAACAGCTAGTAGGTAGAATAGAAACTCGGCCTGACTCTGTTTGGTATTAAGTCTTGATCTTAGTTCATTGCTGGGACCCCCTCCACTGTCACACCAAGACTTGAAAGAGTGAAGAGAGGAAGAGTCATCTGAAACCGTGGTCTCGCATACCCCTGTGCCATCTCTGCATCCATGCTGAGAGCAAGGTAAGCTTGTCTTCCCTCCTCTCATTCCCCCGTTGCTGGGTTTCCCACGGGTGAACCCAGGGTGCAGCGTCCTTCCACGGATGTATCCATGTGTAGAAGATAACCACAGAAGAGCAGGTGGGTCTGAAGGGGCACACACACACACACACACACACACGTTTTCAGTTCCCAGCAAAGGGTGACCTGCACTGTTCCTGGAACATTCAAATGAGAGTTTCAAAGACTCCTTGACTTTGGAGCCTGTATTTTTAGATAATTGACACATTTTAAAATTTCTTTCCTAATGATTACATTAGAAAGGTTTTCTACATCTTGAGTGAATTTTAATACTTTTGCCTCTGGAAAGTTATTCCTGTCACTGAAATGTTCACATTGTCTGCTTCGATGTGTGGAAACCTCTTAGGAGTTTATCCTCTCCGTTCTCTCCTAATTTCTCCTTCTCGTTTCCAAGAGCTTTTATTTTCCAAGTTTTTCATTCATTTATCATATTCTACAATCCAGTTCTGAATATTTATCACTTTGATTGGGATTCTATTTCATGGTCTCTACCTTTCTGAGACATCTGTTATCCTGCATTTAATGCGTTAACATTTTCACATTTTTGATTATCTTTAACTATGTGCATGTCTGTCCTTGGGTATGTGCACACAAGGACAAGTGTCCATGAGGCCAGAAGAGGAAGCCAGAACCTATCGACAGTCATCTGTAAGAGCAGCACACACTTTTAACAACTGAGCTATCTCTCCAGCCCCTCGTGATTTTTATTATTTAAATCAGTTTTACTTAAGAATTTCCAGCAAAGACAACTGTTGTCAAAAGCATCCAAGCACAAGACACATAGCCGCAGCAAGCAGCATCCTTACAAGCATCTAAACGGCTCTGAGAACCTCCACCCTTCTTTGAGACCCCTGAGCTCACTGGTGAACTCTGCTCCCGAGTCCTCCTACAAAGCACACCATGGGCTCAGCCCATGTCCAAGGCCCTACAGCTTCAGCTCACGTTCCCGCACTTCCAGATCAGTAACAGAGAACATCACCATGCAGCGTTCACTGCAGTTGACAGAAGGAGAGGGAGAACACGCATTATTTTATTTAACACACTCAGCTAAAGTGGGTTTTCAAAGAACGATGCTCAAACTCTTCCAACAGATGTAGATGTCCTTTGAAGCAAACACATTAGAACATTACTTGCTACATTACTCTGCATAATCTCCCACCAAAGCCAAAGGATTGAGTGGCATATCTCACGAAGTTAAAAAAACAAAAAACAAAAAAACAACCACTTTTCCGTCGAGTCTGTATGCACTCTCCCTTTTTCTCCTTCGCATTAGCCTCGCATGCTTCTGTACCACGATCGATCCCACACAAGGCTTCTGAAAGCTGAAATAGCCTTCTGGATCCACGTCACGGCCTTGCATTCATAGCGTTGATGCGACTCCATAAAATAAAGCGTAGTAGATAAAAATAGAAAGCTGCCATCAGTGAGCCAGCCAGCCTGTGAAGTACAATGACGAATTCCTGGATGAGAAGCCTCCTAGGCAGGCGTATTCTTATTTGAAGCACTGTTTCCAATGAAGTGCTTCTTCTCCAAATGTTTGCAGTAAAATGAGCTGCGGGGACTAAACGGAGGATTCATATCAGGCTTTCGTATACGAAGGAAGACAAGTGTTACAAAGCCAGAAGAACCAAACACCGTGACATTAAGATCTCCCAAAGCGAAGTGTTCCTAAGCAAAAAAAAAAAAAAAAAAAAAAATCTGTAGGTTGTGATGCAAATGTAAGTAAGGAGAAAGAATGTAATCCTAACCAATGATTTCTACTTTGAACATGCAAGGGATTCACTTAAGAAATCCAGTGGCAGAATATCACAAAGAAACCTTCTGAGACAAATTGTAGTGTGCTGGTTTGTCAACTGGGCAACCCAAAGTTCTCATTCGGCCACCCAATATTTAACTCTGTGTAACAAAACATAAAATTCCTTTAGCTTCTCTTTTCCTGAAGAGAAGTATCAAAAAAAAAAGGACCATTGAATACTTCACACTGAACAAACCAATTTGAAAATTTTAGCGCCTATGTATTTTACTATATACTCACCAAGCGTTTTGAAAATGTTGAGCTCCCACCATTCTATACCAACCAACTAACTACTGCCTACATTCCCCAGCCATAGGATTTAGAATACATGCTTGAGCCAAAGACCACTGCCTGACCCTGCATTTGATGCTGGCTTCCAACCAAGAGGAGGATCAGAACTAGAGTCACTGAAGGAGTTACTTCTGGAACCAAAACCCAGATTCTTTGCTGCCCCTGGCTTTACCAGTACCAGAGAGAGATCTGATTGGTTCTGCTAGCTAGCTGACATTCGCATGATACCTCAACCATTCTACAGTCATCTCAGCTGCTGCAGTCATTACTGGATTAACGCTGAAGACTCCAAAGTTCAACCCTCCACCCATATTACCACCCCAGTTATTTCCCAAGCCAGATCCGCCATTTCAACTGTTAGCAAGTACACTTCAATTCCCAAGGCCACCTGGATTACCACCAAATCTTCCACTTCTAACTATCTTTTGCTATTGTGTTTAACATTGGATATACGCACACTAATTCCTTTAATGATCAGATCCTCTCCACAAAGAGATGGTACAACAATGTAAATGCAGCAAAGGCAAAGCCCAGAATTGTAAAAGTGTCTTTTATTTGCCTGATATAGTTGTCATCTCAGGAACTTACTGCTGAATAAGCTCACCTTTTCTAGTTCATTGTGAACTCTGGATGGCTGGTTCAACTCAGCTGTTCTGTCCCAAACTCCTCTCCAAGCTGACTAATTCAATCTGGCTTCTCTCGGCTTCTCACTGAATTGCTCTGCTTGGCCTCAAATTAACTCTGCCAATTTGTTCTACTCTTCTGTCCCCTTCTTATCCTCTGGCTTCAGTTGCCTCTGCTGATCTGCACTGAACTGCAGTAGCATTTCATCATCTTCTGTTGATGTCTCATGAGCTCGTCATTCTCATCTTCTGATACCCAAATATAGTCAGACACCTTTGCTGCTGCCATTAGGTGTGACAGTGAAACTGAGACAATGAGGGATCTGTTATCAGCCAAGGTACCCCTTCATGCCCACAAGATCCGATCCCTCATTTTTAAAGTATATCATTATTGTATTAACAAATATACTCCCATGTGCTTTGAGATTTATATGAATATCATGTTCTTTCTTTTACAAGCTGGTATTTTTGCTAAATCATAGTTTTAGATTTATCCATGGATGCTTACAATCAGCGGCCACTTATTTGAACTGCTGTGGAGTTTTCTGTGGTCATGTATAATCTATGAGCCATGCACAACTATTCTACAGATGGAAGGACACTTTGTACTCCACATTTTTCGAGTATGGATGATGCGAAAGAGCTCAGTTGTGCCTCCCTTTTTGCAAGGAAGGGAGAGTTACCGTAAGACACCTGAGGCTGTAAACAGTAATGACAAGTAAGGCGTCTCCTCACCTTTGAATAATGCCAATGGTTACAGGCTGCACGGCTTCTGCTTTTGAAATATACTGAAGGTTTTCTTGGTTTTTGGCCTACGTCCAAATTTCATTTGAGTATGTGCTCCTTTGAAAAAAATCATATATCAAACTATAAACTCAAGATTATTGATCAGGTTATTCAATATTATATATACCTTTGGGGTATTTGTCTCCTAACCTGAAAGTTTGAGAGAGTATTAAAGTCCTCTACTATATTCTTTAGTGTGTGTGTGTGTGTGTGCATGTATGCATGTGTACATATAGGCATGTGCATGGCATGGTACACATATGGAAAATAACTTGTGGGAGTTAATTCTCTCCTCCCACCATGTGGACCCCAGGTCTTCAGGCTTGCCAGCAAGTGTCTTTACCAGTTCAGCCATCTTGCTTGCACAAGATCCCTTACTATTTCATTTGTGTGTTCCGTTTTATACTTTTAACAAAACCTGGAG